AGACAACCCCGTAACAATATGCGTTTTGTACTGCTGTTACACAGCACAAAACGCATAAAAAAGGACTCGATTAGGGGTACCTTCTCAGCGTTTGATTCATAGATATTCAGGAAAGTCTTTTCGCAGTAATCGGCAAATGCCGGCAGATCAACTTTCACGGTTGCCTCCTGCTGAAGTATAGTCCTGCAAGAGCAATTTTTAAATCATCCTGACTCGTTCTGTGAGCAAATTAATGCATTTCAAAGCAGAATAGCTTATTCTCAGATGTTTATCTCAATCGCATAAAAGGGTTGTAAAAGTACCGATCTTCATTGTAGGGATCCGGCTTGTACAGCAGTCGTTCATCAACACGCAAAAAACGTCCCGCATTCATCTGAAATGCAGTACTTTCAGAAAAAAAACCAAAAGTCCCGAAATACTTTCCAGAAAAAAATGTCTTATTCCGTTTACTGCTTCATTTCCTGAAGTTAAATCACATAACCCGCTCAGTGTTTTTGAATGTATTCACATAAGCGACAAAAAATAAAGACGCGTGAATTACAGCAGCGTTCCAATAGCTGCTTGTGTACCATCAAATTAGAGGCGAGCAATTAAAACTAGAAAGATAAATGGATATGAAACGTGGAACACCACTATCGCAGAACAAAAGAAACTAGCTGTAACGACCAGTACTGGGTGTCAGCAGAGCAAAGCGCATACGCAACAACAGCTTCGATTACGTTTTAATGTGAAAAGAAAATAAACAGCAACGCGCACCAGACAAGCCGGTGCGATCATGCGTTTTGTGCAATTCAGTTCATCGAACGATTGCCTATTAATGATTTTCACTGCTTTGTACTTTTGTCTATGCAAAAACAGTTCAAAAATTGGAAAATAGTTAAAAATCTCACGCACCAGTGCATGAAAGCTAAATTCGAAACCTTGAAGGGTGAAAACCTTTCCGTGATTCCCGAGTTAATAGTTTAACCGCCAAAATCCTCATGAGGCCGTAGGTGATACTCAACAGTGAGGGAACACTGAATTTGAACAGACAAGGTTGAGCGTAGGCAGGGAGTTACTACCCTAAACTTTCAGCTTCCTAGACCCCGTGGTTCTTGAGATACTAATTTACCCGTAAAAAAATATCACTGGGCCGTACGTATTACCTGTGGGTACGGGAAGGCTGAATTTAAATTTTCCGCGCCACCCGTTAGCGGGGAACACTATACCAAAATTTCAGCCGTCTAGCTTTTGTGGTTTCCGAGTTGAAAGTGCGGGACACAGACACAAACACACACAGACAACCCCGTGACAATATGCATTTTGTAACGCTGTTACACAGCACAAAACGCATAATAAACGAGATTTATGCAAGAAACAGAAGCTGGGCCGGACAAGCAGCAAGGCTGACTGAAAAGAGATCGGTCAAACGCGTTATCGATTGGTACCGTAACATGTAAAAAGGTCAGTGGGAAGACCACTGATGCGCTGGTCTGATCTGCTAACTCGACTATATGGAATATTGTGGATGAGGTGAGCTCAGGATAGAACTCGGTGGCGTGGCTGTCGGCTCAGCAGTCATTGGAGAAAATCAACAGCGCGTTAGTGACGGAAACGCTACATCAAGTAAATATTTTAAACTGAGCCAAGCATGTTGAGAAATGAAGATAATGACCGCAGAGTGAACACGAGCTGCATTGTATTTTTAAAACTTTTGTACCCTACACTTCTAAATAGGGCTGTCGGTTGTAAAGCTGGGGACCATAGCTGACAGAGTAATTTCAACCCAAATACAGAGCAAAAAGAACGTGAACAAAAAAAAAAAAGTAATTGGCCAACGCACGGGCTGCCCGTGCGAAGATGCGTTTTTTGCATGGTTC